CTACAAACATTAATATTTTTGAGGTTATATCCTTATTGTTGATTTAATCAAAAAATGTTGTTAACAAAATTTGTTTAGAATTACTTCAGGAACAGGGTTTGTTAATATAATTTTTTTCTATCTTGAAATTTTAATTTCCCACTAAAATAAAAAAATTAATTGAGGTTAAATTTGACAGTTAAACGTCAAATGTTTAAAATTAAAAATAATTTTCGATTTTCTTTTGAAAAAATTTCCGAATTGTTTTGATTACCCACCTTGGAGGAAACTGACGTCTAATTTCGCGTTTTTAACGGCGATCTCGTTTTTAATCTCGTTTAAACTATCTTGACATAAAACATTTCCGCTAAAAACGAAATGTCATAATTGACGTTTCAAACTTAGGTTATGTATTCAATTTTGGATAACTTCACTCGATTGCTGTCATTATTCATTTTTTTGAAACGTTAAATAAAAAAATTAATCTGACATTTAAACGTCAAATATTTAAAATTAAAAATACTTTTTTTTTAATTTTTTTAAAAAGCATTTTCGAATTGCGTTTTGATTACCCTCCTCGGAGGAAAGTGACGTCTAAATTAACGGTCTCCGGATTGTCATTAATTCATTATCTGACAATCTAAACATGCCTTCCTTTTTATTACCCGCGATGGCCATCAAGTTTCTCTTCTTCTCGCGACACAACAAAAACGACCACGTCCTCTAAATTACCCACATTCAATAAACAACCATTTTAAAATTTTTTCCATTCGCCTAAAGCCGATTTAATTTCGTTTTAATCGCTTTAGAAAGTCACAATAATCGAAAATATTATGACCGAAATAGCGATTAAAAAATAATCGATGATATTAAATCATTCGAAACACATCAGTTTTAGAAAGGTCGTCGAAATAGAGAAGTCCATTAGAGCGAAAGACTTCCTTTGATTATCATCAAAACCGCCAATTCAGAACCAACCCTCACTTCTTTGTCCCCTCAGCTTCCAAAAGGGTCTTTTAAATTCTATTAACCGGGTCAGGGGTACATAAAGGGTTCATTTTCCCTTTGAAAATGGTAGATTCGACTATTTTTAATGAAAATAAAAGAAATTTGAGATTAAAATGTTTTTTTTTTGTAGGGAATTTAACAAAGAAGATCCACATCGTTGCAGGTGTCAGTGACACTCGGTGAGTGAAGCTCGGGAAACGGAAACCAATCGATAAATGACAAATAGACATCGCCATGGCTACAATACAACACGGTGGGTAAACAAAGCGACTTCCATTTCAAATGAAAAATAGGAACAGAAAATGATTGAGTATTTTCTACGAGATTTCTACATACCTCGTACTTCAATCTCGTAATTTTCCCCATCTCGCTGTTAGGCATTGTGTGTAACCCTAAAAATAAAAATTAAGATAAATTTTATTTGTTAAAAAATTTGCAAAATAATTACTTATTATTATTATTATAATTATTATTGAAATGTTTTCCACAAGTCGTTGTATGATGGTAGCTGGTATGGTGGTAGCCCAATCGATGGTGAACCTCGCAACATGACAGATAACGTTGTCAGACTCTTGATTCATCGTTAAAAAGAGCCTGTTACCGCAAATGTTAGTATTTGCATGGGTGTCTAAGTACTTATTGGTTAAACATCATTTCCAGCATCTCTATTACCCCTCAAGATAGTTACAGATAGGTACAACTCAATATCTTCTCGCAATTTTATAATATGAGTGTGACACATCATCGTTAATTGGACTCAACGTTGAGTTTAGTATTTATTAATGCCGTTTTTTTCTTAAAAAAAGTAAATAAATATAATTAATTCTAAAAATACTTCAAAATTAATAAAAGATTTAATCAACAAATTCATAAATTATATAATTAATGGACTTACGATTTTATTTTAATGAATCACTCCAAATTTCCAATAAAAAAAAGTGAGGTTATGTTTCAATAAAAACTTCTTTGATTCATTTTTGGGGGAAAAATCTTCTCGTGGAACCTAAAATCACTTTAAATAGGTACTTTGCGCGTTCAAAAACGTATTTTAATAGCTTATTTGGTGTAATTAAGTTAATTTTTTTGTAAAATTTGATGATTTTAAGAACGAATACAAACGGTGGTTTTAAAATGTCAAATTACTACTAATATGGAGGATTGTTACTAGATGGCGCTCATTTATTTATTTTTTTTAAGTAACTTAATAAAATGATTCTATAAATATTTCGAAATTAGTTAGTTTTGATTAACAAATTCATAAATTATATAATTAATGGACTTACGATTTTATTTTAATGAATCACTTCAAATTTCCAATAAAAAAAGTGAAGTTATGTTTCGATAAAAATTTCTTTGATTCATTTTTGGGGGAAAAATCTTTTCGTGGGACCTAAAATCACTTTAAATAGATACTATGCGTCTTCAAAAAAGTATTTTGATAGGTTATTTGGTACAATTAGCCTTATTTTATTGTAAAATTTGATGATTTTAAGAAGGAATACGAACGGTGGTTTTGAAATGTCAAAATACTTTTAATATGGAGGATTGTTACTAGATGGCGTTAATTAATTTATTTTTTTTAAGTAAATTAATAAAATGATTCTAAAAATATTTCAAAATTAATTAGCTTTAATCAACAAATTCATAAATTATATAATTAATGGACTTACGATTTTATTTTAATGAATCACTTCAAATTTCCAATAAAAAAAGGGAGGTTATGTTTCGATAAAAACTTTTTTGATTCATTTTTAGGGGAAAAATTTTCTCGTGGAACCTAATATCACTTTAAATAGGTACTTTGCGCGTTCAAAAATGTATTCTGATGGGTTATTTGGAGCAATTAAGCTTATTTTTTTGTAAAATTTGATGATTTTAAGAAGGAATACAAGCGGTGGTTTTAAAATGTCAAAATACGATTAATATGGAGGATTGTTACTAGATGGCGTTAATTAATTTATTTTTTTTTAAGTAAATTAATAAAATGATTCTAAAAATATTTCGAAATTAGTTAGCTTTAATCAACGAATTCATAAATTACATAATTAATGGACTTACGATTTTATTTTAATGAATCACTCCAAATTTCCAATAAAAAAAAGTGAGGTTATGTTTCGATAAAAACTTCTTTGATACATTTTTGGGGGAAAAATCTTTTCGTGAGACCTAAAATCACTTTAAATAGGTACTTTGTGCGTTAAAAAAAATATATAATTAATTCTAAAAATATTTCGAAATTAATAAAAGATTTAATCAACAAATTCATAAATTATATAATTAATGGACTTACGATTTTATTTTAATGAATCGCTCTAAATTTCCAATAAAAAAAATAAAAACCCATAAAAACTTCTTTGATACATTTTTGGGGGAAAAATCTTTTCGTGGAACCTAAAATTACTTTAAATAGATACTATGCGTCTTTAAAAAAGTATTTTGATATGTTATTTGGTACAATTAAGCTTATTTTATTGCAAAATTTGATGATTTGGAGGATTATCACTGATCAGATGGCGTTAATTCATTTTTATTTTTTAAAATATTTCTTCTTAAGTTATGTTTTACTTACTTATCTTGTTAAATCTCAGCGTAAAGATGACCCAGCTGCGGTGTAACATGAAGATAATATCCGATACAAACCAATTTCGCAGTTATTAATTAAAAAGTGAGGTTATGTTGCGATCTTTTCGACCTAAAATCACTTTAAATAGATACTTGGCGCACCACATCACCCCAAATAGCGTTCATAATCATTTTGGTACAATTCAAGGCAGATATCATTCAATGCCATTTCTATAGTACACTTCAAAATTGCCGGACACCTCATTACCTCTGGGACATCTTAAGATTGTTTCTGACATATCGAAATACCCTCTATAGGACACCTCAATATCGTCCCTGCACATTAATCATCGTTTCCACCATCTCTACTACTCCTCAAGATAGTTACAGATTGTAAATAATAATAATAAATGTCCCAGACTCTCAACATCGTTCTAAATATCCTGCAATATCATCTCTAGCATTTTTTAGCATCGTTTAACTCAATATCTTCCCTGGAATGTCTCAAGATCAACCTTGACACATCTTCAAATCATCCTTGTTTGTGCTTGACACATCTCAATATTATTTGTAACACCTTGACCTTATTGCAACATTGAAACATTGCAAAAAAACTTCCAAGTCTTAGAAAAAGTGACAGAGCACCAGGAAATATAGTCAGTGTGGTAGAGGAGATCACCAAGAACGTCAGGTAATCGAAAAACCTCTCTATATTGGGCATGTGATAACAACAAGATAGTGTCAGTTGTTCTAGACAACATTTAATCTCATTCTTAGTATATCTCATTTCTTTGACATACGTCGAGAGTCTGGTATACTGCAAGATCTTCTCAGTTATTGAAGCATATCAAAATCATCCCTAATTCAATAGAGTTCCAGAACTCATTATTCGGTTTGACATCGCAACATTGCCGGGGACTCCATTAAATGCAAGATAATGCTGGATATTTTGCAATTTTGTCTGTGGCACACCTCAACATTGTCTCGGACGTCTTTCGATATTAATTTGGTACACCTCAATATTTTCAGGAACAAAATTATATCATCCTGGACAACATTTAAGACACACCACAAATCTGAAACAAAGAAATAATTTATTAGAACGTTATTTTAAAGCATTTCAAAAAAAATTAGAAAGTATTTGTTTTTGAATCTTACCTTCTTAACACGAAAAAGCAACAATCGCGTAAATGTTGACCTTCTCCGGACTGTGGACGACCTCAAAAAAACCACGCGCCACAGGAATTCGTCTCGATGTGGTTTCGACGAGATCAATTTATTTTATTTCCGGTTAAAATCGAAAAATATCTTCTTTACCTAAAAAAATATGTAAATTTTAGCTTTAATTAAGGAATTTTTTAATGAAACTTAGAATATAAGAAAAGATAACAAGTTTTAAAAGTGGAAAATATTTTTAAATGCCTTGTTTTGACGCAAGTTTGACCCCTGCTCTATCATTTTGAAAAGGAGTCATCTTTATCATTATCATCTTTCTTTAACGTCAGAGGTTGTGTTCAGTTTGATCCGGGAATTTAATCAAAAAAAAATTTATTTACTACAAAATATGAACAATGAAATAGTTTGTGAGTTTTATTAAATTTCTTTTTGGTCTAAAATTTTTAATTATTAAAATTTAATTACTAAAGTAAGGTGGTTGCATTTTTTCACGTTTTTTTAATTGAAGTTTTTCGCAGCGAACCCGTGGCAAGACGGCACGTGCGTTTGTCGGAAACAGAGGCCTCCAAAAATAGGGGATATTCCCAGGTAAGAAATTTAAATTTATTTAATTTTCCATAAAAATAATATCTTTAAATTGCGAGTATTAAGTTTCGTTATAAAAGCATTGTGGCATGCAATCCGGCTTAGGAAAACGTGAAAAACTCAACGTGACTTCGATTTTTCTTATCGAAACGAAGCACGGATTCAGATCCCTTGATAGGCAAATAATAAAAGGTCGTTTGAAGGGCGAATTTGCTTTTAAAAATCGAATTTGCAACCAATTTTAGTTCCCCAAAACACTTTTTAAATGCATTCAAAGAAACGTTCAAGTCTTTGTGGGTTTAGAAATTTTCTTTTCTCCATTTTGGGGTTTTTCTCCTCCTCTGCGCATGCATAATGAATGAATAGGTCACGTTTTAAATTGCAAATGCACCGAAAACAGATGGTTGAGATACGGCGTACTAAAAAAAAAATAAAATAAAATAAAAACAGTTTGTTTTTCTTTTGAAATAAAAGTTTCGACACGAAGTTTACACGTAAACCCAATTAAAACGATCGAATAATTTGGTGGGCGTCGATTTTCCATTGTAATAACTCGAGCAACCTCAAAGTGTTACATTAAAAAGTTTTCAAAGAGATGACGAAGAAGAAAGAATCAACCTTGACACCAACAATAACATTTTTTTAAGTGTCTCTGCTTTTAAACAATAAGATGACGTGTTTTAAATGCGTTAAACAAGAATTATTATTCATACCATTAATATTTATTATTTTAATGTCAAAAAATGACGTTTTGTAATATTTATTATTATTATGTCATAACGATGTGGTTTGATACGGGAAAAATGATAAAAAATTACATTTAGGTTGAATAATTATTTTGAATAGTAATGTTATTAGATATTTGTTATTAAAAAATTGCGAAATTTGATGTTAATTTTTTGTATGGGGATATTTGACGTTTATAAGTTGGTAATTTTGACATATGACAATTAAGACGTAACCATAGACATAAATTACTTTATGTCTATGGACGTACTCTATACGATAACATTTTCCAAATAAGCCAATTTATTTTGATATTTTGTAATAGAGATGTTTTACTTACTTATCTTGATAAATTCCAAGGTAAAGACGATTCCAGCCAATTTCGTTTTTATTATACCCAAATTCCCAATAAAAAGAAAGTGAGGTTATGTTTCGATAAAAACTTCGTTGAAACATTTTTGGGGAAAAAATCTTCTCGTGGAACCTAAAATCAGTTCAAATAGGTACTTTGTGCGTTCAAAAATGTGCATTGATAGGTTATTTGGTGCAATTAAGCTTATTTTTTTGTAAAATTTGATGATTTTAAGAACGAATACAAGCGGTGGTTTTGAAATGTCAAAATACTATTAACATGAAGGATTGTCACTAGATGGCGTTAATTTATTTATTTTTTAAAGTAAATTAATAAAATGATTCTAAAAATATTTCCAAATTAGTTAGTTTTAATCAACAAATTCACAAATTATATAATTAATGGACTTACGATTTTATTTTAATGAATCACCTCAAATTTCCAATAAAAAAAGTGAGGTTATGTTCGATAAAAACTTCTTTGATTCATTTTGGGGGAAAAATCTTCTCGTGGAACCTAAGATCACTTTAAATAGGTACTTTGCGCGTTCAAAAATGTGCTTTGATAGGTTATTTGGTGCAATTAAGCTTATTTTTTTGTAAAATTTGATGATTTTAAGAAGCAATACAAGCGGTGGTTTTGAAATGTCAAAATACTATTAATATGGAGGATTACTGCTAGATGGCGCTAATTTATTTATTTTTTTTAAAGTAAATTAATAAAATGATTCTAAAAATATTTCGAAATTAGTTAGCTTTAATCAACAAATTATATAATTAATGGACTTACGATTTTATTTTAATGAATCACTCCAAATTTCCAATAAAAAAAGTGAGGTTATGTTTCGATAAAAACTTCTTTGATTCATTTTTGTGGGAAAAATCTTTTCGTGGGACCTAAAATCACTTTAAATAGATACTTTGCGCGTTCAAAAATGCGCTTTGATAGGTTATTTGGTGCAATTAAGCTTATTTTTTTGTAAAATTTGATGATTTTAAGAACGAATACGAGCGGTGGTTTTGAAATGTCAAAATACTATTAATATGGAGGATTGTTACTAGATGGCGTTAATTAATTTATTTTTTTAAGTAAATTAATAAAATGATTCTAAAAATATTTCGAAATTAGTTAGCTTTAATCAACAAATTCACAAATTATATAATTAATGGACTTACGATTTTATTTTAATGAATCACTCCAAATTTCCAATAAAAAAAGTGAGGTTATGTCTCGATAAAAACTTCTTTGATTCATTTTTGGGAGAAAAATCTTCTCGTGGAACCTAAAATCACTTCAAATAGGTACTTTGTGCGTTCAAAAATGTATTTTGATGGGCTAATTGGTGCAATTAAGCTTATTTTTTTGTAAAATTTGATGATTTTAAGAACGAATACAAGCGGTGGTTTTGAAATGTCAAAATACTATTAATATGGAGGATTGTTACTAGATGGCGTTAATTTATTTATTTTTTTTTTTAAGTAAATGAATAAAATTGATTCTAAAAATATTTAGAAATTATTAAGTTCTAATCAATAAATTCATAAATTATATAATTAATGGACTTACGATTTTATTTTAATGAATCATTCCAAATTTCCAATAAAAAAAGTGAGGTTATGTTACGATAAAAACTTCTTTGATTTATTTTTGGGGGAAAAATCTTCTCGTGGAACCTAAAATCACTTTAAATAGGTACTTTGTGCGTTCAAAAATGTATTTTGATGGGTTATTTGGTGCAATTAAGCTTATTTTTTTGTAAAATTTGATGATTTTAAGAACGAATACAAGCGGTGGTTTTGAAATGTCAAAATACTATTAATATGGAGGATTGTTACTAGATGGCGTTAATTTATTTATTTTTTTTTTTAAGTAAATGAATAAAATTGATTCTAAAAATATTTAGAAATTATTAAGTTCTAATCAATAAATTCATAAATTATATAATTAATGGACTTACGATTTTATTTTAATGAATCATTCCAAATTTCCAATAAAAAAAGTGAGGTTATGTTACGATAAAAACTTCTTTGATTTATTTTTGGGGGAAAAATCTTCTCGTGGAACCTAAAATCACTTTAAATAGGTACTTTGTGCGTTCAAAAATGTATTTTGATGGGTTATTTGGTGCAATTAAGCTTATTTTTTTGTAAAATTTGATGATTTTAAGAACGAATACAAGCGGTGGTTTTGAAATGTCAAAATACTATTAATATGGAGGATTACTGCTAGATGGTGCTAATTTATTTATTTTTTTTAAAGTAAATTAATAAAATGATTCTAAAAATATTTCGAAATTAGTTAGCTTTAATCAACAAATTCATAAATTATATCATTAATAGACTTACGATTTTATTTTAATGAATCACTCCAAATTTCCAATAAAAAAAAGTGAGGTTATGTTTCGATAAAAACTTCTTTGATTCATTTTTGGGGAAAAAATCTTCTCGTGGAACCTAAAATCACTTTAAATAGGTACTGTGTGCGTTCAAAAATGTATTTTGATGGGTTATTTAGTGCAATTAAGCTTATTTTTATGTAAAATTTGATGATTTTAAGAAGGAATATAAGCGGTGGTTTTGAAATGTCAAAATACTATTAATATGGAGGATTATTGCTAGATGGCGCTAATTTATTTATTTTTTTTTTAAGTAAAATAATAAAATGATTCTAAAAATATTTCGAAATTAGTTAGCTTTAATCAACAAATTCACGAATTATATAATTAATGGACTTACGATTTTATTTTAATGAATCACTCCAAATTTTCAATAAAAAATATGTTATTAATATGGAGGATTGTCACTAGATGGCGTTAATTTATTGATTTATTTTTAACTTTTTCTTAAATATTACTTAAGTTATTTTTTACTTACTTATCTTACTAAATTTCAGCGTAAAGCTTATTTTTTAGTAAAATTTAATGATTCTTGTATAATTAGTGGTTTTGAAATGTCAAAATACTAATTAATATGGAATTACCGCTAGATGGAGTTACTTTTTTAAAAAATTAATTTTTAATATAAAAAAATTATATTTTTTAACAGAAGAAAAGCAGTAGATGTTCCCCATAACACCCCCCAAGACTTAGATTTTCGTCGTAATCCATCAACTAGTCCTGTGATAGAAAACAACCAAGTGCCTTCCTTAAAGCACCTGTCAGAGTCAAGTTTACCGGATCGCGTCTCTCAAATTACACTAAAACGCGGCGGCGATCGAGTTCAACATCAAAAAAAGACCGAACCAATTCAACAATCGCACAGTTTTATCAACGAATCTACTCAAAACCGCGCAATTTACCCGAATTGCCCCTTTTCCCCGTACGGAAGCCCAGCGAATTCGCCGCGAAGCACCCGGAAGCGGCAACCTTTAAAAGAATCTCGTCGCGTTTCGATCGAAAAAACCGGAATGTACCTTCAATTGAATCAGTATCGATTGATGGATTCGATCGGGCAGGGATCTTACGGAATCGTTAAATTGGCGTATAACGAGGAAGACGATACGCATTATGCGATGAAGATTTTATCGAAAAAGAAATTGTTAAAACGGGCGGGAATGTTTGGAAGATTACCGCCGAAAAAATTCGACGGGAGAAAAAAAGAAACTTTACAACCTCTACAACAAGTTTATCGGGAAATTGCGGTTTTAAAAAAGTTGGATCATCCCAACGTGGTTAAATTGGTCGAGGTTTTAGACGACCCGGTCGAGGATCATTTGTACATGGTTTTTGAGTTAGTTGAAAGAGGCGAGGTTATACAAGTACCCACTGAGAGGCCGTTAACTGAAGAACAAGCTTGGAATTATTTTAGAGACGTCATTTTAGGAATTGAATATTGTAATTTTCTTTTTTTTAAAGCACTTTTTAAAGAATTATAAGAATTCTTGTTTTAGTACATTATCAAAGGATTATTCATAGAGATATAAAGCCGGCGAATTTGCTTTTAAGCGAATCGGGGAGGTTGCAAATAGCCGATTTGGGGGTTTGTAACGAATTCGATGGAACCGACGCTTTTTTATCATCAACAGCCGGAAGTCCGGCGTTTACAGCCCCGGAAGCTTTGGAGCATCGAGAAACCTTCAGCGGGAAGGTAAATCTACAACAAATAAATAAATAAAATTAATTTAATTACCCCGTTTTAGGCCGCCGATATTTGGTCGATGGGGGTGACGTTATTTGCGTTCGTTTATGGGCAAGTTCCGTTTTATGAACAAAATATAGTGGCTCTTTACGCAAAAATAAGAACGCAAAGTATCGATTTTCCGAGTAATTTAGCCGTATCTGAAACATTAAAGGATTTAATTAGGAAAATGTTGGTTAAAAATCCTTCGGAGAGGATCACATTACAAGAAATAAAGGTAATTACTTTAATTAGGCGATTTTTGATTCATTTTTTGTTTTTCTTTACGCAGCAACATCCTTGGGTCACCAAAGATGGGATTTATCAGCTTCCCAGCGAAGAGGAAAATTGCCACCTCGTTGAAATAACCGAAGAGGACGTCGCTAAAGTTGTTACTTCAATACCGAAATTAGACACTTTAATCCTCATCAAACATATGCTCAAAAAACATTCGTTTCAAGTAGGTTCTTTGATTAAGATGACCTAAAAGGAAAGTTATTTATTAATTTATGTTATTTTGTGTAGAATCCATTTTTGCACAAACGCGAAGCTCACCGTCAGAGTAATCCGGAAAATCCGCCTCAAAAAATGCACATTGGGATATCCGGGAGGGCTAATTCGGCCCCTTGTTCTTATAATTGGCAGCAACACCATCAGATTTCCGTGGATTCTGCGTTGGAAGCTGTGACGGAGGTGATGGTGGATGTAGCTGAGGGGTTTAATGATAAACGCACCGAGAAAAAGAACCTAGAAAGATGATAATCGACTTTAATTTTATTTTTGCTACTTTTTGGTGTGTAAATATAATTTTTCTTTTTGTTAAATGGGACCAAAATTAACTCAACGAAGATTCTGTGTGTTTTTTCATCAAATAAATGTTATCGAACACTTCTCATATTAAAAGTGATGCACAAATTGTAACATTGTTAGAGTTAAATGTGAATGATTTAAAAATGATTAAATAGATTGTTATGAAATAGTTAAAAATGCTCAAACTTTCAAAAACGAAGTTATTTTTAAATTATTATTAAAAAAAAAATTAACGAAAACATATTTACTACGATTTAGAGTCGGTTGGTAAAGCAAATATTCTAATAAAAAGAGAAATGTAAACGAAAAACTTATTATATTTCAAATTTCTACTCTGTAAATATTTCCAAGAAATAAATTTTCCTTATTATCAAAATCAACGCGTTTCATTACCTTTAGTTTTTGACGTTTAATTGACAAGTTAAAAAAGTGAGGTTATGTCACCTATTAAAACTTTGATTAATTTGTAATTAAATCACTATTAAATGAATCAACTTACATTTTTAAAACGTAAAATCAATCCTATTTTAGAAATCGCCCCAAAAATCTCATAAAATTGACGGGGTAGAAAAGTGAGGTTGTGTTGGAAAAAATTTCGCTCACCAACTTGCTTGAAGTAAAAGAATCACTTCGTAAAACGTAAAATCGCTTCAACTAAACAATTTTTAGGTTCAAAAACGTATTTGGGTTCAATTAAACTTACTTTTTCGTAAAATTTAATAATTTCAAGCGCTTCTCTAAATGTCAAAAACGATTTAATACAGGGTGGTACCGCTAGATGGGGTAAGCAACAGATGTTATGTTATCTGTTAAAATTTCGTTAATTTATTTATAATAAAACTTCCTTGTGATAAGATCGCTCAAGACGAAATTAAATCGCTATTAAATCATTAAAAATAATTAAAAACATATTGAAGAAAATAAAAATAATCATTAAAATAAGTGTGGTACGTCATCGTGATAATAGATGGCGCTATATAAGGGTCAAATAAATCTGTAAAAATGAAATTTTTTATCAATTTAACAATAAATCTTTTTCTACAATTTAAAATGATATTAAATTATTATTTAATTTGGTTATCGTTTAATATCTTTATCATAAAATTGAAGATTAAAAAATAAAAATGAATATGATTTCTTTCTGTCTTATCCTTTTTAATATTGGAACCACCACATACCTTTAATGCTCATTGTGATAATCACCTCCAATATGATAACTACAGAGATCATCGTTTTCAAAAACGTATTTCGATTCAATTAAACTTATTTTTTCGTAAACTTTAATAATTTGAAGCGCTTCTCTAAATGTCAAAAACGATTTAATACAGGGTGGTACCGCTAGATGGGGTAAGCAACAGATGTTATGTTATCTGTTAAAATTTCGTTAATTTATTTATAATAAAACTTCCTTGTGATAAGATCACTCAAGACGAAATTAAATCGCTATTAAATTATTAAAAATAATTAAAAACATATTGAAGAAAATAAAAATAATCATTAAAATAGGTATGGTACGTCATCGTGATAATAGATGGCGCCATATAAGGATCAAATAATTCTGTAAAAATGAAATTTTTTATGAATTTAACAATAAATCTTTTCCTACAATTTAAAAATTTTAATTGATATTAAATTATTATTTAATTTGGTTATCGTTTAACATCTTTGTCATAAAATTGACGATTAAAAATTAAAAATATGATTTTTGTATGAAGTTAGCTTAATAAACGATTTATTGAGATAACCACAACAAATTAACTCATTTATTAGAATCGATATTACCATATTTATCATTTAAATTTTTTTAATTATTAATCAAAAATGAAGTAAAAAGCTGACATTAGATAAAATGAAATTAGGATTAATGCAAAACGTCAATTAGTCGCTATCTTATCCTATTTAATATTGGAACCACCACATACCTTTAATGCTCGTTGTGATAATCACCTCCAATATGATAGCCACTAAGTGTTAGAGAGACCGTCGACTTCAAAAACGTATTTCGGTTCAATTAAACTTACTTTTTCGTAAAATTTAATAATTTCAAGCGCTTGTCTAAACGTCAAAAACGATTTAATATCGGGTGGTACCGCTAGATGGGGAAAGCAACAGAGGTTATGTTATCTGTTAAATTTCATTGATTCATTTATAATCATTTATAATAAAACTTCCTTGTGATAAGATCACTCAAGACGAAATTAAATCGCTATAAAATCATTAAAAATAATTAAAGACATATTGAAGAAAATAAAAATAATCATTAAAATAAGTATGATACGTCATCGTGATAATAGATGGCGCCATATAACGATAAAATAATTCTGTAAAAATGAATTTTTTATCAATTTAACAATAAATCTTTTCCTACAATTTAAAAATTTTAATTAATATTAAATTATTATTTAATTTGGTTATCGTTTAAAATCTTTGNTGGCGCCATATAACGATAAAATAATTCTGTAAAAATGAATTTTTTATCAATTTAACAATAAATCTTTTCCTACAATTTAAAAATTTTAATTAATATTAAATTATTATTTAATTTGGTTATCGTTTAAAATCTTTGTCATAAAATTGAAGATTAAAAAATAAAAATGAATATGATTTCTTTCTGTCTTATCCTTTTTAATATTGGAACCACCACATACCTTTAATGCTCGTTGTGATAATCACCTCCAATATGATATCCACTAAGTACTAAAGAGATCATCGACTTCAAAAACGTATTTAGGTTCAATTAAACTTATTTTTTCGTAAACTTTAATAATTTGAAGCGCTTGTCTAAACGTCAAAAACGATTTAATACCGGGTGGTACCGCTAGATGGGGTAAGCAACAGATGTTATGTTATCTGTTAAAATTTCGTTAATTCATTTATAATAAAACTTCCTTGTGATAAGATCACTCAAGACGAAATTAAATCGCTATTAAATCATTAAAAATAATTTAAAACATATTGAAGAAAATAAAAATAATCATTAAAATAAGTATGGTACGTCATCGTGATAATAGATGGCGCAATATAAGGATCAAATAAATCTGTAAAAATGAGATTTTTTATCAATTTAACAATAAATCTTTTCCTACAATTTAAAAATTTTAATTAATAATAAATTATTATTTAATTTGGTTATCGTTTAATATCTTTGTCATAAAATTGAAGATTAAAAATTAAAAATGAATATGATTTCTGTATGAAGTTAGCTTAATTAAAGGATTATTGGGATAACCAAAACAATTTAACTCATTTATTAGAATCGATATTACCACATTTATCATTTAAATTTTTTAATTATTAATCAAAAATTAAATAAGGATAATTGACATTAGATAAAATGAAATTAGGATTAATGTAAAATGACAATTAGTCGCTGTCATGTATCAAAAAATTGTAATATCTTTTTTAATATTGGAACCACCACATACCTTTAATGCTCGTTATGATAATCCCCTCTAATATGATATCCACTAAGTACTAGAGAGATCATCGACTTCAAAAACGTATTTCGGTTCAATTAAACTTACTTTTTCGTAACCTTTAATAATTTCAAGCGCTTGTCTAAACGTCAAAAAACGATTTAATACCGGGTGGTACCGCTAGATGGGGTAAGCAACAGAGATTATGTTATCTGTTAAAATTTCTTTGATTCATTTATAATAAAACTTCCTTGTGATAAGATCGCTCAAGACGAAATTAAATCGCTATTAAATCATTAAAAACATATTGAAGAAAATAAAAATAATCATTAAAATAAGTATGGTACGTCATCGTGATAATAGATGGCGCTATATAAGGATCAAATAAATCTGTAAAAATTAGATTTTTTATCAATTTAACAATAAATCTTTTTCTACAATTTAAAAATTTTAATTGATATTAAATTATTATTTAATTTGGTTATCGTTTAACATCTTAATCATAAAATTGACGATTAAAAATTAAAAATATGATTTCTGTATGAAGTTAGCTTAATTAACGATTTATTGAGATAACCAAAACAAATTAACTCATTCATTAGAATCGATATTACCACATTTATCATTTAAATTTTTTAATTATTAATCAAAAATTAAGTAAGAAAAACTGACATTAGATAAAATGAAATTAGGATTAATGTAAAATGTCAATTAGTCGCTGTCATGTGTCAAAAAATTATAATATCTTTTTTTATAATAAATGTATTTTGTGGTTTTTATAAATAACGAAGTTTCTATGGAATAGGTTAGATTAAAGATTGATCGAAACCACCACATACCTTCAATGCTAGTTGTGATAATCGCCTCCAATAAGATATCCACTAAATATTACAGAAATCATCCACATCCAGGGCTTCGCAATGGGGTAAATATCTGATTTTGGTTCAAAGAAGAGTTCCACATACAAAGAGCCATATTCTAAACTACCTGCTAATAGAAATGAAATAAAAATGAACTTAAAAACAACATAACCCAACTTTTTTATAAACTAAAACTGATTTGTGCTTGATTTCAGTTTCAATAAAAATACAATTTTTTTCTTAATCATATTTATTTAATAAATACACTTTTATATTTATACAGAAGGTTGTTGGGTACCGTTTGAAACTTGAAGAGCGGCCCCATAAACTAATCCAATCAAGCTCCCAACTAATTCCATAAAATAAATTCCAATTCCAACAGGAGAAAACTCATATTTGACATTTTGCAACCTCGCAGTGGAATCCAACTCTTCTTTCTCCTTATTTCCTTTATTATAAACCGTAGCATTCGAAATTCCAACCTCATTTTCCACAAAAGTCGAATTAGAAAACTCCCCCGATTCCGTTGTAACCATCACAGTCGTATTACTTTTTGGAAAATCATCTTCGTTGTCGATATCTTCAAAATCAACATCCGGCTCTGGTTTTTTTGTGGTAAATCCGTTCGCGAGGGAGGTGAAAAATTGGATTTTACGGAAAAGTTTCGCTATTTTCTTTTGGATAAATCCGGGAACTGCTTGGTTTTCGTCGTCGTTTAAGGGTGGTGGTAGTAAAGAAGAGTTTTCTAAACGTTCTCGTAAATCGGCAATATTCGATTCGGTTGTTGATCGAAAATTTGATTTGAAAAACGGTTTTGATTCAATTCCAATAATCTGTATTAAAAAGAAATCATTAATGTTTTTTTTTAATATACATACATACAGGTGTGTCAAATGTGTGGAATGTTTCAAATAAAAAATTCTTTATTACATATGGTTGTCGAGAAAGAATGCGAGAAAATATTAAATCAGAAAATTACAATCAAAGCGTCGAAATAACGCCGTTGACAGCTTTAAATGTCAAAAAAATGACAGTTTAATTTTTAAATGTTAATACCAACCTTAATTTCTGAATTTTTTTTATTATATTTTGGTTTTTGTGACAAATTTTAAGACTTTTTATAAAATTAAGAATATATCAAAACGACATTGACATTTCAAACCGGAAGTTGCTTATATCTCGAGTTTTGGCTTATTTTAAAGGATTTTTCACGACGTTTACAAATGTCAAAATTGAGGTTGACATTTCTAACCGGAAGTTATATAACTATACCTATATATAGTGTTTGGTATCATTTTAAAGGACTTTCAATGTTCTTTTCAAGTCGATTTAAAGCTACACATATTGTTAAAAAGAATTACAACTTGGGCCTGAATGATTCTAGTTCTAGGTTATCTACAAAATTAACCGAGATACAGCTNCGATTTAAAGCTACACATAATTGTTAAAAAGAATTACAACTTGGGCCTGAATGATTCTAGTTCTAGGTTATCTACAAAATTAACCGAGATACAGCTATTTATCAAAAAATTCAAGATGGCGGATGTCATTGCTGATTTTAAACTAACTTTTTTTATTTTTTGTTGTAAATATGACGTGTTTGGTATCAAATTGAAGGGATTTTAATATAGATTACGAATTTAATATTATCATCAATTAAAATAGACTTTTAGATTTTATAACTATTTTTGAAAAATTTAATTTATTTGAAATCGGGGAGAAAATTAAAAATGCTTTAAAATGAGCCTAAACTCGGCGGGGTTATCTAAAAAAGTAACCGAGACACAACTAATTTTTGTTATAAAAAAATTCAAGATGGCGGATGTCATTGTTGATTTTAACCTAACTTTTTTTATTTTTTGTTGTAAATATGACGTGTTTGGTATCAAATTAAAGAGATTTTAATATAGATTACGAATTTGATGTTATCATCAATTAAAATAGAATTTTCGATTTTATAACAATTTTTGAAAAATTTAATTTATTTGAAATCGGGGAGAAACTTAAAAATGCTTTAAAATGAGCCGAAACTCGGCGGGGTTATCTCAAAAATTAACCGAGATACAACTAATAATATTTGTTATAAAAAAATCAAGATGGCGGATGTCTTTGTTGATTTTAACCTAACTTTTTTTATTTTTTGTTGTAAATATGACGTGTTTGGTATCAAATTAAATGGACTTTAATATAGATTACGAATTTGATGTTATCATCAATTAAAATGGAATTTTCGATTTTATAACTACTTTTGGGGGGAAATATCTGAGAGGTCTGTATAAATGTCCCTTAAAAACCCGGGTTTTAGAAAAACTGTCAAAAAAGGAAAAGTTTTACGGTTCTTGTAGAAAGCTTTCAGTTCTTCGAATACAAAATAAAAGCCGAAATACTTTTAACGAACGTATGTATCTATTCGAATTAACGCAATTGAAAATACTTTTAAGATTAGAAAATTGACCGGAACGATTTGTTGTATGTACTTCTACGTCAATAACTCGAGGAACATGTGAATAACAAAAACTAATAAAATACGGAACAGCCGACTAATAATTAAATTATAAAAACTTTGAACATCTAGTGTTTCAATAAAAATATCTACCACTGTCATTAGAACTAACACTGGACCTAGAACTAGAAATAATGAAATAATTCTATCTTTTTTGTTGTTTGAGATAAATGCATGATGTTTGGACTCATTTTAAAGGTTTTTTTAATAAAGAATACATGTCAACCTCAATTTTGACATATTTGTAATCCTCATTAAAGATTATACAGATTTTTCTGTTACAGATTTATAAAGATTTTACAAAGATTACTTCAAAAAAGAATTTTGAATCGATAAAAACTAATTACATACCAAGGAGTGACTAAAACGGAATGGATTCTTGATGAATAAGCACAATTAAACACTTAATTNGACATTTCTAACCGGAAGTTATATAACTATACCTATATATAGTGTTTGGTATCATTTTAAAGGACTTTCAATTTTCTTTTCAAGTTTCTTTTTCGATTTAAAGCTACACATAATTGTTAAAAAGAATTACAACTTGGGCCCGAATGATTCTAGTTCTAGGTTATCTACAAAATCAACCGAGATACAACTAATTTTTGTTATAAAAAAATTCAAGATGGCGGATGTCATTGCTGATTTTAACCTAACTTTTTTTATTTTTTGTTGTAAATATGACGTGTTTGGTATCAAATTGAAGGGATTTTAATATAGATTACGATTTGATGTTATCATCAATTAAAATGGAATTTTCGATTTCATAACAATTTTTGAAAAACTTAATTTATTTGAAATCGGGGAGAAAATTAAAAATGCTTTAAAATGAGCCTAAACTCGACGGGGTTATCTAAAAAAGTAACCGAGACACAACTAATTTTTGTTATAAAAAAATTCAAGATGGCGGATGTCATTGCTGATTTTAACCTAAATTTTTTTATTCTTTGTTGTAAATATGACGTGTTTGGTATCAAATTAAAGGGATTTTAATATAGATTACGAATTTGATGTTATCATCAATTAATATGGAACTTTCGATTTTATAACAATTTTTGAAAAACTTAATTTATTTGAAATCGGGGAGACAATTAAAAATGCTTTAAAATGAGCCTAAACTCGGCGGGGTTATCTAAAAAAGTAACGGAGACAACTAATTTTTGTTATAAAAAAATTCAAGATGGCGGATGTCATTGTTGATTTTAACCTAACTTTTTTTATTCTTTGTTGTAAATATGACGTGTTTGGTATCAAATTGAAGGCATTTTAATATAGATTACGAATTTGATGTTATCATCAATTAAAATGGAATTTTCGATTTTATAACAATTTTTGAAAAACTTAATTTATTTGAAATCGGGGAGAAAATTAAAAATGCTTTAAAATGAGCCTAAACTCGGCGGGGTTATCTAAAAAATTAACCGAGATAAAACTAATATTATTTGTTAAAAAAAATTCAAGATGGCGGATGTCATTGTTGATTTTAACCTAACTTTTTTTATTTTTTGTTGTAAATGTGACGTGTTTGGTATCAAATTAAAGGGATTTTAATATAGATTACGAATTTGATGTTATCATCAATTAAAATGGAATTTTCGATTTTATAACTACTTTTGGGGGAAAAAAATCTGAGACTTAAAAACCCGGGTCTGAGAAAAACTGTCAAAAAAAGGAAAAGTCTTACGGTTCTTGTAGAAATCTTTCAGAAGTTCTTCGAATCCAAAATAAAAGCCGAAATTCTTTTAACTAACGTATGTATCTATTCGAATTAACACAATTGAAAATACTTTTAAGATTAGAAAATTGACCGGAACGATTTGTTTTACTTCTACGTCAACAACTCGAGAAACATGTGAATAACAAAAACTAATAAAATACGGAACGGCCGACTAATAACTAAATTATAAGAACTTTGAACATCCAGTGTTTCAATAAAAATATCTAGCACTATCATTAGAACTAACACTGGACCTAGAACTAGAAAGACTGATTCTAGTTTTAGGTATTGTTCAAACAAAACATTCAAGGTTAATGTTTTTTATTCTATCTTTTTTGTTGTTTGAGATAAATGCATGATGTTTGGACTCATTTTAAAGGTTTTTTTTAATAAAGAATACATGTCAACCTCAATTTTGACATCTTTGTAATCCTCATTAAAAATCCTTTAATATGAGTACAAACACGACATATTTATCTTCCATATTAATGAAGTTATGGTCAACTTCCGGTTAGAAATGTCAACCTCAATTTTAACATATTTGTAATCGTCATGAAAAATCCTTTAAAATGAGCCCAAACATGATACGTTTAATTCTAATATTACTCGAGATATAAGCAACTTCCGGTTTGAAATGTCAATGTCATTTTGATATACTCTTAATTTTTATAAAATGTCTTAAAATCAAAAATTAAGGTTGGTATTAATATTTAAAAGTTAAATTGCTATCTTCATTGTTGCTAACTTCGAAGTTAACGCTTTTTATTCAAATTTTTTTGTTCTTTGCGATAAGTGCGTCATGTTTGGGCTCATTTTAAAGGTTATTTTATAAAGACTTTACAAAGATTACTTCAAAAAAGAATTTTGAATCGACAAAAACTAATTACATACCAAGGAGTGACTAAAACGGAATGGATTGTTGATGAATAAGCACAATTAAACACTTAATTATTATAAAAATGATAAGAAATGAATTAAAACGCGAAAAGAAACCGTCACTGTCAAAAAATCGAAATGAAAGGAAGGGATGCCAACATCAATTTTATCCAAATCAAAAACTAACTAATTTTCTAAGAAATATTAAAAATAAAATTATTTATTTAAAATTAAAATTGTTATTAAGTTAAAAATCGGAGTAATCTTTAGGTGAATAAACCAAAAAATTTTGATAATCATTTTTAACCTCAACACATGATTAATTTAAACAAAGATTACTTCAAAAAAGAATTTTGAATCGATAAAAACTAATTACATACCAAGGAGTGACTAAAACGGAATGGATTCTTGATGAATAAGCACAATTAGACACTTAATTATTATAAAAATGATAAGAAATTAATTAAAACGCGAAAAGAAACCGTTTCTGTCAAAAAATCGTAATGAAAGGAAGGGGTGCCAACCTCAATTTTATCCAAACTAAAAATTACTTAATTTTCCAAGAAATATTAATAAAAAAATTGATTTAAAATTAAAATTGTTATTAAGTTAAACAATTGGAGTAATCTTTATGTTAAT